TCATTTATTAATAATTTGAAAAAATTGAGAGGAATATATGAACGTTGTTTCTCTGGCCATTTTTATCATAAATGCTCAAAATCCGCAGCCTAATTATACGAAACAAAAAAAGTGAGATTGTCCTCCTTCTCTTAGCGAATTTAAGAAGTCAAATATAATAGAATGAATTATTTATTACGAATAGACTGCGAATTTTATGCGTCTATGATAAAAATGGATAGGTGAAATTTCAAACAACGAAAATATTAAAAGAATGCAAGAGCTGAAGTCAGTAAAGAGGGAATGAAATTTCTATTCGACTCATGTTTGTTGCAATTGATCAATCTTATTTTGCATAAAAAAACTCGCGATGCGATGATTATAATTATTTGATTAAGAGCTTTCTCAATCTAATTAACTAAACCAGGTGAAAACCAAATAATTAGGACAGAGTTATTTGTACAGCGCTTGTAAAGGCATATTCTGCTAAACAGAAATTCGTAAAGAGCGAACGCAATTTTAGGAACTAATTGGCCACGAACTCGCGACAGAATACACCACACAGGCTATTTTATAGCGCGTCAACATAACTTTCGGAAACGTGTATAAGGCATCAATGTGCACGCAGGTATTACGCCAGCGCGCAGGCTATTTTATAATCCGTGATCACAACCTTCGTGAACTGTACGGCAACGCGGACGCCGCGAATAAATTGATTATACAAACGTAATGAATTTACCGGGGAGAAATTATGACCGCAAGTTACTTTACGACCGGTACAATTTATCGAAACGAAAGATATTGCCTGGATATATCGATAAACTGCGTCGAGAACTTACAATGCACTCTCGGAGCAGCGTTTTGCAAACAGAAACTGTCCGCGTGTTGCTAATAAACATTTCTGTCACTTCGGGAGAAATGGAAATATTGTTACCGGTGTACTTAAACTCGTTATCGGTGTGATTTAATAGTTTTTTCGAGGAGGACTCGTGCGTGTCTCCGAGTTGAATTACCTCGTGAAAGTATCATTAGACTGTCAATCAAGTATTTCGTACTTCCATCAATTTGGCATTTCGATTCCTCTTATTATACATACGGTGTCCCACAAAAGTGTTCGTACATTTTTTAGAATAACTTTTTTAGAACTGGACTAAGGGAGTTTAATTTTTTTTCAGATGATAGCGAGACTAGTCTACCAGACGATGACCAAAATTTTGCTATTGCTTGAAATGACAAAAACAAAACAAAAATCTCTCGTTTTTTAGCAAATTGATAGCAAAATTTTAAAAAGGCATTTTAGTCATTTTACTAGGCATTTTACTAGGCTTTTAGGCATTTTACTAGTCCCCCTATCATCTAAAAAGCTCAAGTCATTTAGTTGAATTTTAAAAACGTTATGACGTTTTAGAAAGGTGTACGAACACTTCTGTGGGCCACTGTATGTATATTATAATTGAAATAGACATTTCACAATATTCGTCCACGTACTAAACCTATGATTATTGTAAGTATAGCACGACTTGCATACCTATATACAATTCACATACCTATAAACAACTCATAACTAAAACTACGATTTCTTTCATAGCACTTTTTCGTACTAATTAATTTCCCCGATGAGGCGAGACAAATTATGTTTGCTGTACGTCTCAATTTACTATCTTTCCTAGATTTTGATGACAAGAGAATCAAATTTTCATATCTAGTACATTATCCATATATAGTTTATAGTATAGTATAGTATAGAATAGTATAGTATAGTATAGAATATAGTATAGTATAGTATAGTATAGAATAGTATAGTATAGTATATGGTATAGTATAGTATAGTATAGAATAGTATAGTATAGTATATGGTATAGTATAGTATAGAATATAGTATAGTATAGTATAGTATAGTATAGTATAGTATAGTATAGAATATAGTATAGTATAGTATAGTATAGTATAGTATAGTATAGTATAGTATATAGTATAGTGTAGTATAGTATGTCTAGTATATAGTATATTATACTAATAAAAATGCTACTTCATTTTTGTATCGCTTCTCACGCGAGGTTTTCCATTGTGGGAATTATCGAGGCAGTAGATTGAGCTACGATGTTTATCGTTAATGTGCAGTGTAAAACCTCCGATATCTAATATTCTACCCGCTCTAATTCTGTCTAATTCCAGGTCTATGCCAACCGCATAATTTCTCTACGAAACCTGCTTATCGAGGTTGAAACATCGTTACCAAAGGAGAGATGGGATAACAACCCTCGCGAGGAATAAATTCTTTAATCGCCGGGTCATCGCGATACCTCGGTTGACACAATTCCTCAAGATTATCAGGCTTAATCAGCCGGCTAACGAACAATCAGTGCCGCTTTTACTTCGCACGTGATCCACAGCGGGCGCACGTGCGCCCAGCACGTGGTTATGGATGCAAAAGCCCGGTTCACGTGCGTCAGACACGCAAGCGAACCCAGAAAACCCCGGCAGACTGCACACGGGAAATGAACGTCGCCATGCGACGCATAATCGTGATTAATCAACGGCCGACGGGATCGCGAATTATTACCTGGATCATTAACCCTCCGTCGCGACGAAGGAAATTGAAATTGTGTCGCTGCTGACACGGCTTCCGCTCTGTCACCCTGCTCGGAACGATCTGATCATCTGAATCCAAGTAATATTTTAACAAGTCGTCGCGTTTGAACACTTACCACGAAAGCTCGCCGAGCCGTAAAAGTAACTTAATGTGTGTTGTTTTACGAAGACGACAAAATCGTATTTATTTCAATCTTTCGTCAGTTTTATTATAGCGTATGCTTGGATTAATCATTTTATTGAACTATTCTCTATGAAAGAGTCTTTATAATTTTAGCAACTTTGAAGCAAGATATGTGAATTATATATATATATATAATATATTAATATGATACAAGAAATCGGATCGAACTTGTCATCTTTAACACTCGTATGATGAGGTTCGAGTCCATTTGTTATGGACTATCTTATATTGTTATTCGACTATCCAATTTCTGACAATCAATTTAAATGTTCAGATGTTTCATTAAGATTCGAAAAATGTCTAGAATCTAGAAGACGAACCTTGGAATTGAGAGACAAAATTATAGATATTACTAAGTATTCTCGGTTTTATATAATATAAGACAGCTGCAAAACAATCACAATATTATATCACAATAATAAACCATCACAATAATTAAGATTCGCATTTTTAAGATTCGCATTAATAATTGTATTAACTACTTGAAGACATACAATGATGTCCCGTTACTTAACCAACGTGGTATTGACAAATGTTAAGGGAAATTAATTGATTTGTTATGGCAATTGTTAAAATCGACAGACATCGAGCACTTTTGTACACACCCGTGGACCGATTAAGGAACGCCAGCTTTATCTCGCCCTCTCTCCACGATTGTTTCTATGGAAACTATAGCATAAACTCGGAGACCTCATGTTTGTTCCGGCTGATTCGATTGTTTGAAGAAGATGCGGAAGGTTGGATTTTACCAGAGACAAGGAACCATCTTCCGTTCGAACAGCGACATTTCGTAGTAGCGAAGATAGCGGATGCAAATAACGTTAGCTATGTCACGTTTCCTTCGGCTGGTATGCCCGTCGACTCGCGCGCTGCCAACTGGCCGTTGTTTATTTTATGATGTGAAACAGAAGATAAATTTTCGACCCCGACATTGTGATAAATCTGGACGCGATGATGCACACACGGTGCTACCAGCGACATTTCTCTTTATTTCCGTAATACACTGCTTCGGAGCACGTTCAAAACGTGTGTACGTTGAACCATTTTGAAACTTCATTCTCAGAGCACGATTATCTGCTATATAATTATCCGCAAATACATTCCCGTACTTAACTAAAATTTTATTATAGTATAATATATACTATACTATATATATACTATACTATACTATATACTAACTATAACTATACTATACTATACTATGTACTAACTATAACTATACTATACTATACTATATACTAACTATAACTATACTATAACTATACTATATACTATACTATACTATACTATACTATACTATACTATACTATACTATACTATACTATACTATACTATACTATACTATACTATATATACTATAAATTTTATTTATATTGAATTTCGATGTCTCTAAATTTCATTTATATTGAAGCAACTACGACGAATAGATTTTTTTTTTATTTCCCAATGTTTATTATCACTTTGTCCCTTCCCAAGTATCTAATTCAAGATATGGTTTTGAAATAAAATTATAAACATTTGCGGACCACCGATGGTCCGCAAACTATAGGTGTTAATTTAATAAGCTTGATTTAATAAATATGCGTTATTCATTGATTTATTTGTTGTCGAAAGATGTACCATATTTGAAACTGTTTCTCATTAAAGTTACTTGAACTTCCGTTCCTCTTCCTTGAACATAAAAAACATTTTTTGCATACAATATATACTTGCAAATAAATGAAACTGTTCGAGTCTCTGATCTATTCACTTCTGAAAGTGATACACATTATTTTCGTGAAATCTTTGATGGTTAAAAAATTACTTGAGGTAATATGATTATAATGTACTAGTGCACTAAACTGTGGATTTTATGCATTTTTGCAGGCAAAAATGTGCGGGAACCCGATGTTAAAAAGAAGAATAGAAGAAATACGAGGCTGGATCGGCCGGGATCCCGATACGTTTCACTGTTCGAGATCTCAAGATCCCGAAAGTTTCGGGACTGCACTCGGTTTTCGGGTGATCTCGGGCGGCCTCGTGCAGTCTCGTGCGGTCTCGTGCGGTCTCGGACAGTTTCGGCCTCTACGCATGAATAGGATATGTAAGAATCTACAAGCGAGACTGCCCGAGACCGCCCGAGATTACCCGAGACTACCCGAGAACCGAGCGCAGTCTCGAAACTTTCGGGACCCGAAACACTCGGGATCTCGAGATCTCGAAACGTATCGGAATCCCGCTCGATCCCGCCCGACTCTTTCCGACCCGTCCCGAACTTCGGGTTCCCAAGACTCGAGCGGTTCTGCACTTTACTCCTACATTTATGACAAAAATGAATGTGCGAAATTGAGAACAGTGCAAAAACGAAAAGAAACTAAGAACGTTGGTGTACTAATTTCAACCTATTAAAATGATCAAAGAAAGGAAGAAAATGATGATTGGCTCGTCTGTCTTGCAATCGGTGCAGAAAATGTTTGTTTTGCATAAAAAATTCGCGGTCTACTTATCGCTTTCCTAAAAATAACGAGTAACTTTTGAAAGTGGCATAAGTCACATTTTCAAAAAAATCGAGTTAATGGTAACACTAATTACAATTGAACGGTATCTTTTCATTTAAAAAAAGAAAAGAAAAAGTGACTTACGCCACTTTCAAAATAAACGGCTCATACTTTGAGTTAAGTATGCCGTTCTATTTGTTGCTGAAAGTAATCCTAACGAATATTTATAAGTATTCACAACCTGATCATTTAAAATATGCACTTCCATTTCTCTGTAACACGACTGCTCGTTTCCCATAGAAATAGTGCAAAATTTTCCAGTGATTTCGTGCCGGCTTATTATACACCGTATTTCGAGAAGCCTGCGAAATGGCAACCAAGCGAGCTCGCGACTCACGTGCAAGCCGCGTTGCCACCGCGCAGAAGCATTTATCAGCGGAATCGTGAATTTTTCGAGCACAATCAGTAGCCGATGTTCAATTCCATTGCCCCTGAAATGCGCCGGCCAGCAATTCCGCTCGGTGTGCAAACAAGGATCACTTCCGATCGCTGGCCATTAAATCCCCGCCACAATTTCACCCCCGCCCTCCTCCCCTTCGCTCTCGATCCCGGCCGATTCGGCGAATCGTCCCCCAAAAATCACAAATCTATTTACAGAAAAATTGCGAATGAAACCTCGTCAAATAAAAACTGGCGCGCAACATGCATGTAATTTGCTTAAACTGCGACAGAACGCTTTCCCGCGTATTATATCCCCAGCGTCGATTTTAAATTCGCCGTCGTTTAATCCGTTTCCGGCGAATCTGCGTTGACATCGTAGTAACACCGTCCACCGTGAAATACGATAGATATCATTGGATTTATAGGGTAGTAAATATTATAATTCGGAGATCGTGTTATTAGCCGCTGCATTAATCCGCATAATTATTTCAACGTCGCCGGTTCGCGCCCCCTCCGACCCACCCTTGTCGTAGGAAATTTATATTAGGCTGTATTATTGCCGCCTATGCGTAACGTTTCATAATCTGTACGCGTATATTGTGCACGTTGCATTATAATATTCATTCGTCTGTCGTAATAATTCATTCGGAACTTTCATTTATTTATTCGCGACGCATTTTTCACGCGTTCATTTGTACGAGAGATTAGCACGCGCGCGCTATTTTTCACCACAGTTTTAATTCATTGTATCGTGGGTTTGTTTCACCTGCCACGAATGTACCTAGTAAATTCTCCCTAATTCGCGCTCAGTTTGCGTACACGAAAGTGGACAATTTCGGTTATGGACAATTATAGTTCACCGATTGTCAACGATTATAAAAACGAGTTGCAAATTGCTCGAAAATTCGTATCGCCTCTTTCCAAATTTTGTCCATTTTTGTGCGCGATCTGAGCGCGAAATTAGGGAGAATTTAGCGTGGTACGTAGCAGTATAAATCGTTGAACGATGTTCCAGAAACGTGGAAGAGTATTCAAGAATCTTCTGGAGTTTCTCGGCCCGCCGAAAAAAAAAATCACGCATAAGAGCTGCGTGTATTTAAAAGACCGAGGATGCAGATGACATCGTAACTTCGAAAAATGAAGAAGCAGATGGTATCGGTAAAAATGAGGATGCAGATAGCGAGACAAGATTTTCCGCATAAATTGTTAGTTTTCGTACTCGAATAATGCCATTCATTCGATCGTTTCCCATAAAAGGGTGTCTATAACTTTTTTATTTGTATATTGGGAAATCGGTGATTTTTTCGTGGCGGATGTTAATGTTAAATTGTAACTAGATCGTGTGTATATTTATGACGAAAATGAATAACTCAAATACAAAATTGTAAAGGAATTAGAAGAACTTTAGGATACCGATTATTTTCAAATTATTTTATAATAATAATATAATATTATATAATATATGATTATATTATAATAATAATATATATAATAATATAACAATAATTATAATAATTGTAATAATTATAATAATAATAATAATAATAATAATAATAATAATAATATAATTAATTATTATATATATACGTTTCTTGCAATTAACTTAGACAATTTTTATTTTGCAGAAAAATCCGCGGTCCAATTATAACCAATATCCGAAGTCCAACGCAGTTCTGGGGAATCATGCAAAATTGGAGAAATCATCATACTTAAGTCAAGTATAATAGTATATAGTATAATATAATATATAGTAATATATAATATTATAGTATAATATAATATATAGCAATATATAATATTATAGTAATATATAATATTATAGTATAATATAATATATAGCAATATATAATATTATAGTATAATATAATATATAGTAATATATAATATTATAGTATAATATAATAATAAGTCAAGTGTGCCTAATTCGTTGCCCTCGAGAAGACCGAGACTACAATATCAAGGACGCTATTTACCAATCGGGGCGTCGAATAAAAGCAAGGTTGTACTTTACAAATCGACGTTGAAAAATCCACGACGCCGGCGTGGAAAATAATTATTTTAAGTGACTAGGTTAAGATTCGCAGGGGGTGCGGCTGGCATTCCACCAAGAACAGATTTTACAGCGTCCATCGCGCGTCAGGTTATCCAGATTCGCCGGAAACACGCGCAACTTCCGGATGCATCGTGGGGGAGGGGCGGTGGCGTTCCGTTTCAGGGCGCGTAGAGCAACGTCCGGAATTACTAGCGCAATAACGATGCGCCGCGGGTAAGCCTTACAGTCTAAAAAGAAACTAAGTCGACGTCTGGTTTGGCCAGCAGTCAAATGGCAACCGTGCCACCATTCCCGCGGACTTTATTCCCGTCGATTCTCAGCCCGCGAGCATCCGCCTAAACGGCCTTCCTCGTGTCGCAACGAGGCCCGTTCGTTTCTGGTGCGAGAGGTCACGGTGAGAAATGATTATAGCGATAGTCCGGCTGTGTACCGGGCCTATCCAGGGCCGAGAGAGGCTGTCATTAGACGTCGCTGGGGGGTTGGGACTCGGACCTTCCTCGGTCGAGTAAACGCAATAAAGCTGAAGGACGTGAATTAGAGACCAGGGGTGTCAAACTCAAAAGCTAACTTGGGCCATAATAATAAATAAACAATGCTTAACTTTAGGTGGGCCGCAAAAGAAAAAGAATCAATGTTCATAGAAACAGATATTTTTATTTCGACTAGTACATTGTAATAAACATGTATAAAGTTAAATTATTCTTTACGTCCTGATACTTGACATCAGAAATGTTCATCTCGGGCCGCGAGTTTGACACCCCTGAATTAGATCTTTGAACGCTTTAACATAGCATACTTTATAATTAACGTGATTTTTATTTATTTTACATTAGAAGCAATTTTTTTTATACATGCTCGCACGAGATCAATCGATTACACTTTGCGGAAAAGCATCCTTTGCGAAAGGAATAAGGAAGAATAATATTTACGGATGAAAGGAGATTGAACCTACAAAGGAGGATGGC